GGGATATTAAAATATTATAGTGCAATATATATATCATCTGTTAATATATAAAATATATGGGAATAATATGTTAAGTATTAACTATCAGTAGTTTGCTGTCTTTTCAGAAAGGCAGGGCCATAGTCCTGGAGCAGGTCCTGGAAGCTGTTGATGGGCACAGTGTTAACTCCTTGGTTGCCAGATAGTGGGGAGGTCCCAGATCACCTGTGGGTGAAGACAAAGAAAACCAATCACACTAGATGCTGTTGAAGGGCTTGGGCGTGGCTCCAATTCTCAGTTGGCTCGGAAACACTTGGTGTTAGCAGACTGTAGACACAGACCTGTGCATAAACCAAAAAACCCCAGTCGTCTTCAAGTTGATTGTGATTCATGGCAACCCCTTGTGTTGCAGAGTAGAACTGCTCTCCACAGTGTTTTCAAGGCTGTGACCTTTTGGAAGAGATGCCCAATCCTGTCTTCCCAAGTGGCTCTGGGTGGGTTCGAATGGCCCACCTTTCTGTTAGTAGTGGAACACTTAACCATTTTTGCTATCCAGGGCCTCCTGACCTATGCACAGAACTGGGTGTTGGTCATGGCTGTGCCCACATACAGTCCCTACTTCCTGAAGCCAGAAGCCAGCTGGCAGATAGTAGGGGTTGAACAAATGGTTTCTGAGTCTGTGCCTCTGTGTGGCCCGTTTTGCTGTTTTATTGCTGTGATAATGCTGCTTCCTCCTTGATAGCAGAGAGGACTGCCCAGAGGGCGAGGCAGAGTCTGCTGGGCTACTTTCTGCAAGCTTTCACTTTCAGATGGTGGAAGAGCCAGAGGGAACAGGGTGATTATTCTCGCTGGAAGGGCTCTGTGGGGGCCCAAGGCCGGGGTATCTGCAGATATCTCTTTAACTGAGGCCGATCCTCTTCCTTGGTGCTACTGGGAACCACCTGCCTCTCAGAGATATGGGACCCTGGTCCCACAGTGTCTGACCCAGAAGCAAGGACTGGGGCTCCCAGAGCAGCTAACTGCAGGTACAAACTCTGAGGGCAGATTTGGGGTCTGCCAGGGTCCCTGCAGCCCTGAACCTCCTGGAGCTGCTGAGTTTAGAGACGCTCCAGGAGGTCACAGACTTTCAAAGCTGGAACCAGGAGAAGCAGGTGAGTTGGCTGTGTAGACGCCTGTGGGCCACGGGGAAGAGCCAGGGAGCAGCCGACTGCGAGGAGGGGGCTGAGAATGTGTGTGTGTTTGGGACTACACCACAGTCTGCTCTAAGAAGACTGAGGACAACCCCAGTGAGGCTTGCACCTTTATTCATTTATTTTAAAGATGTTTATGTAGCACTTACTAGGACCAGGCCCTGTTCTCATCACCTGTAGTAACTTTACAAATATAAATTTATTTAATCCTCATTACAACCCCTAAGAGTATCAAGGGAGTTATTGTTAATATCCTCATTTTGCAGATGAGGCAACCAAGACAGATAAGGTCAAGTAACTTGCCTGAGGTGGTCACACAGTGAGTGACTGAGCCCAGAGGAGAGCCTAGCAATTGAGTCTGTGCTTTCCTGACCATATGCTGCCTCCTCTCACCTCACATGCAGCAGGTGGTTTGGGGTCTTTTCTTGACAAGGGCTCATTTTTTCTTCTCTCCTGCTTAGTCTCCAACTGGGTTCTTTTAGCTGTTAGCCAGAAGTCTCACCTCAAATACAGAGTGGGCGAGGATTAAGTGTCAGTGGGGAATTGACTAGGCCCCGAATGGAAGAAGGGAGGTATAGGGAGGGGTTGAAATGCAGGTGAAGCAAAGAAACACACTTAACAGGGCAGGGTGTCTGTGATGGGAGCTGCTGTCTCTCTGAGGATGCCGTCTGTCTCTGATGCTTCTCAGGTGACTCCCTGTTCACAGTCAAGGAGGACAGAACAAGGAGCAGCAGAAGCTGGCATGTCCACTGTGTCCCGGGGGCCTGCATCATGGTCCTCTGACCTGGGATGAGGGAGGGGTTGTGAGAGTCCTGGAGATGGAGGGAAGTTCTCCCTGAGGGGCACAGGTGCTGAGGAAGGCAGGCCTGATGTCTGAGCAGTGGGGCTGTGGTGTGCATGTTAGTGGGGTGGGAAGGGAAGGAGTGGTTTGTTCCCAGGTCAACTTAACAGTTGTCTGACACCACAGAGTCTCCCCAGAATGGCTGGCAGGAGCCCGGCTCAGTCTTTTCTTGGTATCAGTGTTGGTGGGGCCACCATCCAGTTAGCATGATGAGCGAGTAGGGAGTGCTCTGCTCCTCTCATAGTCCGAATTGTGGGTGTGCTGCCACCTATCTGGGGTCCCTGACTCCTGCCCTGTCTCTCTCCAGTTCTGAAGAAATGGAGGGGGGCTTCAGCAGATCTTTGCTCTGCCATCTCACTTCCCTCTTGCTGCTCCTCCAGCTTCCCACGAAGGGGTCTACAGGTGAGTGCTCCACATCCCTCTGTCTGCGTCTTCCTGTGGTGTGTGGGAACCATAGGTGAGCTGCTGGTTCTGTCCATCAGGAGAGATGTAAATATTGGAGACCCCTCCACCCCGGGAGATTATGGTGCCCTCACTAATTGTAGTTAAAAATTAAAAAAAAAAATCACTAAACCATAAATAAGTATAAAAAATTCTGATAATTGCCCCACCACAACCTCTTTAATGTTTAGAAGAGCCAAATAGGTGATATTGGGAAATAACTTTCCCACATTTCCCTGCTTTGCTAATGTCCTAAGCAAACATGCACGTGTGCATTAATTCGCTTTATTCCCCCAGTGCTCATGGGGGGTCTCCTATGGCTCAGGTGTTGCTCTATGAACAGAACAGTCGGAGACTCTCTGTCTTCACAGAGCTTACATTCTAGCAGGAGGCAGTGAATATTAAATGTAAGAAACCAAGAGAAACTACAGTGTGTTAGAGGAGATTAGTGCTATGGGACAATGAAGTAGAGCAGGTACCAGCAGTGTTGGTGGTGGTGGTGGGTGAGGGTAGAAGAGGTGTGGCGTGGGCAGGCAGCAGTACTCATTAGGGTGGTCAAGAAAGAGAGATGTGGACTAAGACTTGGGAGAGGAGGGGAGTGAGCATGAGGATCACTGGGGATAGAGGGTTCTTGCAGGAAGTGTGAGCCAGTGCTCAGCTGGCAGAGTGCCTGGTAGTTCAGAGAACAACAAGAGGTGAGTGTTGGTTGCAGCAGAGGGAGTGACGGGCAGGGAAGCAGGAATCAAGGTCAGAGCGGTCCTGGGGGCAAACCCCATAGGGCCTGTGGGTCACTGGTGGGAACTGAGGAGCCATTGCAGGGCTTTGAGCAGAGTGGGGCCCTGACATGTTGTGGCTCACACAATAAAAGGCTCACTCTGGCTGCCATGTAGAACACAGACAGTGGGGGTGGGATGAGGGTAGACGGGAAGACCAGTCTGCTGCTGTCCTCCAGGGAGGAGACAATAGTGGCTCAGGCAAGTGTTGAGCAGTAGAGAAGATGGTATTCGGGAATCTAGACTGACTTGCGTGCAGAGGAGCCAGCTTGCAGCCCATCCAGGTCAGAAGTCTGAGGGTGACAGGCCGAGTGTGCCTTCTTCTGTAACAAGCAGTGATTGAGGCTCTTGGGAGCCAGGGGAGTGAGCGCAGCTTTTAAACAGAAATAGCATTTGACTCTGGGTTTTAAGTGCACATATAATTCAATGTAAGAGAAAGATATGGGCACATCTAATGAAAGGTAGGCGTGGGGTGGGGAATTTCCTGGTGGTGGCTGAATGAATAGAGTTCAGACCCAGATTTCTGGTAGCCTCTGCTCAGTTTTCAGTCCTGTCCTGAGATGGGGCTGTGGTTCTCAAAATGTGGTCCCTGAACCAGCATATCAGCATCCCTGGAACTCTCTGTTGTTGTGGTGATTAGCTGCTGTAAGTTGGCCCTGAGTCATGGTGACCGTATGAACAATGAACCAAAAGCTGCTCTGTCTACATGGGAAGCTAGACTTGTACCATTGACTCACCAACACCTCAGGGGAACTCCTTAGAAATACACATTTTGGACCTCCCCTAGACCTACTGAATCAGAAATTTTGGGGATGAGGTCCAGAGATCTGTGTTTTACAACCCTGTGGGTGATTCTGAAGCACACTCAAGCTTGAGAACGAAGGAGTTAAAGAGTGTTTCCCAGAAGGGCCTAGGACCAGGTGCTCAGCCACATGAGGGAGGCCCTTTGACATGATTTCTACGTCAAGATGTTGTGGTCAGAATATCTCACTGCATTCAGAGTCCTCACAGCTCATTCCTTCAGGTGCTGGGGGTCATCTCCAATGTTTACCTGATAGTGTGTATTCTCCCACCCTCTGCCTTTGTCTCTTCAGCTTTCTCACTCTCATGTTTTGTCCACAGACGAGTTCCAGGTGATTGGCCCCACAGACCCCATTGTGGCAGTGCTGGGCAGGGATACCACGCTGCACTGCTCCCTGTCCCCAGCCATGAGTGCAGAGAACATGGAGCTGCAGTGGTACCGTTCCAAGTTCTCAGAAGCAGTGTTCATCTATCAGAACCAGCAGGAGCAGAAGCTGAAGCAGATGCCGCAGTACGCAGGGAGGACCTCCCTGGTGAAGGACTTCCTCACCTGGGGGGAGGCTGCCGTGCGCATTGACATGGTTCAGATTTCTGATGATGGGCTGTACACCTGCTTCTTCAAAAAAGGAAGCTTCTATGAAGAGGCTACTTTGGAGGTGAAGGTGGCAGGTTGGTGACTTGGTCTATATATTCTAGCCTTGGAGTGTTGGAGTTGGGAGCAACCTCAGGGACGATTTAATTCAGCCTCTCATTTTATAGATTCTTCTGTTCATTCATTTATTCAGTGTAAATAATGTAGAGCCCCTACTATGCCAGGCACTGTTCTAGGTGCCTAGGATACATCAGTGAACCAAACAGATCCCTGCCCTCTGGAGTTCATATTCTAAATGCAGAGATAGAAAAATCATAATCTGTTATAGGTGATGCTACAAGGTGATAAGTTCTGAGAATGAAAGACAAAGTAGAACAGGGAAAGGGGATCAGGATGTGGGCATGGGGACTGGAATTGGGACTGGGCTAGGCCTCACTGAGAATGTGCTGTCTGAGTAAATGCTTGAAGAAAGTAGGGATTTAGCTAAGTGGGTATGTGGGGGATGAGTATTCCAAGCAAAAGGTAGAGCCAATGCAAAGTCCCTAAGTTGGGAATGTGGCCAGTGTGTTCTGGACACACATGGAGGCCTTATGGATGGCTGGTGGGAGTGAATGAGGGACAGGATTGTAAGAAGTGTCCGTACCAGACAAAGCGACTTTCCTGGTATAGGTTGCACAGAGAAGGGACGGGTTAATGCTGGCTGGGGCAATCATGAAAAGTGCCCTATGGAGTAGATACTTAAGCTGGCACGTCAGTTCATCAGGCAAGTTTCCACAGAGCCCTCAAGGTTGAATGACTGAAGTTGAAAAGGCAGGGGGCACACAGAGCAAGATGTGGTTAATAGCAAGTAACCAAATAACCCTTGTTACTAGAGTATGTGGGACCTGAGGGGCACAGGTGGTAAAGGTTAGGGGGGATTTGAGAGAAGGGGTTGGGGAGGAAGACAGATGTCTTCTATGATCTCAGAGAAGGCTTTAGGCTTTGTGTGTTATGTTGTGGAGTTTGGATGCAGAGCTGAGGAAATATTAAGCAGACCAATGCTGTGAATGCTCACTCTGGCAGCTGTGAGGAGGACGGATGTGAAGGAGAAAGGCTGAAAGTGTGGAGTGTAGTTCTGAGGCAGAGAGGATGACTGCCTGACCTCAGGCAGTGGCAGTAAGGTGGGAGAGTAGGGGCCAGATATTAAAGAGATTTGGAAGTAGACCTAACTGAGCAAGTAGATTTGGTACTATAAGAGTTTGGAGGGGAAGAAGGGACCACAGAGATTCCCAGGGTTTTGCCTTGGCTGTTTAGTGGTAGGAATATTGATAACTATGTATCAATTACCTATCACCATAATAATGTTATGTAACAATCAGTCAGAAAATCTCAGTAGTGTAAAGCAATAAACATTTATTTAATTTGAGCATTTCTAGAGTTCAACTGATCTAGGCTGGGCTCGGCTAATCTCAACTGGACTCATCTGTACATTTTTGGTCAGCTAAAGAGGTCACTATATGGACCTTGAGGGGAGACAACTGGCTGATCTCAGATAGCTTCAGCTGAAAGGCTGGGGTGACAAGGAAATGTTCCCAGAGTCTCATTGTCCAGCAGGGTAGCCTTAGCATGTCCCTCCCATGGAAATAGTAGAGGGCTCAATGGTGAAGCAGTTTTCAAACCTTTGCTTGTGTCACACTTGCTGATTTCTCACTAGTCAAATAAAGTCCCATGACCTATGCAAGAGTAAGAGTGGGAGGGCACTACAAAGTGATGTGGCAAAGAGCAGGTGGATGTAAGGAAGGTGAAGACCCAGGGCTATTCTTGTAATCAATTTACCACAGATAGGGCAAAATTATGAATTTTGTTCTGGAATTTTGAGTTTGAGGAGTATATGAGGAATCCGTGTAAAGATAACCCATTGGGGTGTGGTTATAAAGACGGGGAATTTGGGAAACAGAGATGCTTAATTGGTATAATTTTGGAAGTGGTTTAATGAGAAGTGGTGGGAAGAAAAAGAAGCCAGGGGGACTGTGTGATGTGAGAAGAGTAGAGATTCAAGGACAAAACCCTGAAATGACTCTGGCCTGTAAGGAGTGGTGGGAGGTAGGGGGAGGAAGAAAAGTCCAGGAAAGAGGCTCAGCAGAGTGATCAGAGAGGTGACAAACGAAGCAGAAAGTGTGGGTGACCAAGCCAAGACGGAGCCCGTTTCAAGACGTAGTCAACAGTGTCTCACGCCGAAGGGAGACTGAAGAAGAGGGATTGCAGGGTGACTTCTGGGCTGCCAAGTAGGAGATTTTTGTTAACTCACCAAAAACAGACTCAATGGAATAGTAGAAATCAGACTGCTGGGGGTTGAGAACTAGGTGAGAGGTGAGAACATTGAGTTGTTGATGGATTATAAAGCTTACTCTTCAAAGAAGGGGAGAAGGAGACTGTAAAAATATGAACATGTTTATGTCTTTAGGAAAAGAAGTAGATGGAGAGGAAGAGATTAACAGCAAGGATGATGCAGGGAGGAGTGTGACCTCTGGTGGGGCAATGGTTAAAACACTCAGCTGCAAACCAGAAGGTCAGCAGTTTGAGCCTACCAGCTGTTCCACAGGAGAAAGATGTGACAGTCTGCTTCCTTAAAGATTTACAGCCTTGGAAACCCTATGAGGCCGTTCTACTTTGTCCTATAGGGTCACTATGAGTTGAAATCGACTTGTCAGCAGTGGGTTTCTGAGTGGGTCAGGAGCAGAGAATGAAGAGAGAGGAGAGAAGAGAGGAGAGGAAAGGGAGGTGATAATTGATGGGACAAGGTCTTAGAAGAGATGGTGACCTCTGGGTGTCAGAGCTCAGGGAAACAGCTATCCTTGAGCGAGGGAGATTTCCTCTCATTTGGTGTCAGGAAGACGAGAGTAAGATCAGTTTGGATGAAGAACACTTCGTGGCTAATTAATGCAAAACAAAAACCAAAATCCATAAAACTCTTAATTTCAAATATTTCCTGCTTGCTAGAGTAAGTCCAACAAAGACTTAGTTTCAATAAACCTTACGGCCTAGTTGAACTTTTGCCCTTGAAAAGTTTTTATAATGACACCATCTTATTTCTTCTGGGCTGGTCTGGAGTTTTGTCCTTTGATTTGTTTCCTGGGCTGCATCTCAAGAAAAGAGGTTTGAAAATTCTTCTTTTTTCTCTGTGTCTCAGTCTTCCCACTTGAGTGGTTGGAAAGAACAGTCCCCACCTTCAGAGCTCCTAAAAAAGCCACATGCTCCATTCATCCTTGGTTCCCTGCAGTGGGGCCTCAGCCCCACCACCACTAGGGAGCGTCTTATCCCATAGAACCTCCCGAATGGAAGACGAATAGCTTCGTAGGTGTCAGGCTGCCAGCGTCCCAGGCCTACACCTGGGACAAGGCGGCTTCCTGGGCTCCACAGCTTCTCTCCCACAGGTGTGGGCTCTGCCCCTGAAGTGCGCATAGAAGGACCGGAGGAAGATGGGGTCCGCGTGGCCTGTACGGCCTCCGGGTGGTTTCCGAAGCCCCAGGTTCAGTGGAGGGACCTTAGTGGAGAGAAGTTCCTGGCTTTCTCTGAGGCTCATGCCCAAGACTCTGATGGGTTGTACAGCGTGGAGGCCTCGCTGGTGGTGAGAGACAGCTCTGCTGGGAAGGTGACCTGCTCCATCCTCAACCCCATCCTGGGCCAGGAGAAGGCGAAGGCCATTTTCATCCCAGGTCAGTCATGTTCCTGCTCACAGCAGGCTGGAGGGAAGGGAACAGGGTCCTGGGTGTGCTGGGCTGGGCTGGCCTGGCCTGGGTGCGCCCTGACGCAGTCTCTGGCGGGGCCGCAGAGCCCTTCTTCCCCCAGGCCTCTCCCTGGAAGCCAGCTTTTGCCATGAGCCTGATCATCCTGTGTCTCCTCATCCTTGGGGCTGGCTATTTTCTCAAGAAAGAACACTCAGCAAAGGTGCAGGCGCTGCAAAAACAGGAAACTCTTCAGCAGGCTCAGGAGGAGGACAGGCAGAAAACGGAGGAGGCACAGAAGGCCAGAGGCAAGGCAGGGGAGGGGCGAGGCTGGGTGAGGGCAGAGCTGGTGCTGAGAGGGAAAGCTGACAGCAGGAGCAGAGCCCTTGGCTGCAGCCTCCAGGAAGACCCAGGGCCCCTGCCCAGAGCAGGAGGCTCAGGAGATGCAGAGAGGGCAGCTTGGCTGTGGAGGCTTGGATGGGTCTGGAGGGAGAACTTTCTCCACCATATAGAGGGTCTTTTTGTGGGTTTTCCAGGCACACCATCATTTCCTTTTCTTAGGGATGGGAATTCATGCTTATTTTATTTTATTTTATTTTCTCTCTTTCAGATGAACTCCAGGCAGAGCTGGGTAAGTTCTTCTCTCCCTCCTGAACTCTCTGTGTCTCGTTTGGGAGGCATTATTGCTCTTAGCTCACCTCATTTCCTGTGTGTTGCCTTTCAGACAGGAGGAAGGCTGTTTACCAGGCTGGTGAGTAACTCTCTAGATGTTCCTGGGTCTCCCATCCCACCTGTGCCCAGGTGTCCCGTCTCCCCATGTCTCTCTGGCATAGACATGAGGACCTCATTCCATGGGGGCAGAAGTGGAAGGTGGTGGGGGAGGAATCCTGCTCCTGGGGCTCTATGATCTGGGCCTCTGCTTCCCTCCCAGTGCTGGGACCCAGAGTGTGGTGCAGAGACTTAGTGAGGGGGGAGGGCAGAGAGGAGCACTTGCCCCCCCGCCCGGGGTGCAAGTCCAAGCGGCACGGATGAGGTGTGGAATGACATTCCCAGGCACCACAAACATGAAAGGTGCCTGACTGAGGCACCCAGACAAGAGGGTGAAGGTGTTTCTGCTGATGTGTCACCGCTATCATCGGCTGTTCATCTTGAAATTGGGGGTGGGGTGGGGTGCAAATTAGAGACCACCCCTAGGAGCTTGAATGGGGTGGGGGCAACTAAGAGATTGCCCCTGGGCACTTGTTACATGGCTGCAGCTCTGGTGTGGTCATGATCCCTAGAATCTGTAATGCATAGTGGGTTTTCTCATTCTAGCCCCGGCCTGTCCACTGTATTGTTAGTTTTCTATCCTTTAATACACAAAGCTCTCATTCTGCACCTGGAAGCTAAAAGGCAGATGCTTAGGGATTTCCTTTAAGGAGCTACATAAATAAATGGGGTCACTAATTGTAGGGGTGTGACTTACTGTTTTCCCAAGAATCCTCCTCTCCGAGGGTGTCAGTCCTCTCAGGCTCCTGCAGGTGCTGATGGAAAAGTGATGGGGAGAGGACCAGAATGAGTAAGCAGGGAAATGTGATAGTATGAGCTGAGTGCTCCCCAGAATACAGGTGTTATTATCTCTAGAAATATTTTTTTCCAAAATGGTTGGCCACTTTTCCCCTGGTCCTATCCATGTACCTTTGTCCTTTTTCATTCCCCCCTTTGGAGGGAATTGATATTTTCCAGAAATACATTTGCAGAAAAAGACTAGTTATAACAATGCTTTCTTACAATTATGGAATAATTTACATTTTATTCTTTAAAATATCATCAATTTTTTAAAAATTCTTAGTGGAATGCAGGTAGAACAGGAGTTTTTGAGGTTCTTGAGGCACAGAGCAGCTAAGTGACTTGTCCAAAGTCCCATAGCAGCAGCAGGATGGTGTGGAACTTGGACTGTAATCTCGGCTTCCTGACCTGTGGTCACGGGAGTTTCCCACCATCCCTGGCCAGCTTTGCATGCTGCAGGAGCTCTTCTCTTTTCCAGCATCTGTCTCCCTCTGGATAGGCACACCCTTAGGACAGAAGGGAGGATGGTAGCCAGTCATTTCACACTGAATCTGGCTGCAGTCTCACCAGGGTGTGTTCTCTTTCAGCCTGGAGGAAGGCCCAGTTGTATGCAGGTAAGTGACTCTAACTTTTCTGTGGCCTTACCTCCCTCAGCCCCAGGGGCTCTGCCTCAGCCTGGCCCTCCCTCTATCAGTGGACCCCACACCAGGATAAGACTGGAATCTCTGCTCTCCTTATCACTTTTGTAGCCTCTCTCCTGAGACTGCAGCGACTCCTACTTGAGTACACAGATCTGCATCCTGTTGGGGTCCTTTCTCTACCGCAGGCCACTGTTCAGGTTAGCAACACCCTCTGAAAACATGTTGTTCACTTCATACTTCCAGTTAGTGCTATCAGTGACAATGGAGAGTTCAGTTGTCAGGAGGGACAGAAGCAGGGTAATAACTGTGCAGGTCAGGCATTGCTGGTCTCCAGAAGTTTCAGAAACAACACTTGCCTGCTGAGGCTTCAGATGTTCCTTAGGGAGTCCTTGGTTCTAGATGCCTCTGGCCCTGAGAATCCTATCCTTTTTGGATCCAGTTTTGATTTTCCCATTTCTTTCAGGTCCTGTGGATATTGGTCGTCTCTTTGCTTCCTCATGCTCTGACTCCATGCCCTTGTTGAGTTTCTTCATCTAAGTCTTCTTGGTTACAGAAGAAATAGTTGCTTTAGAGCAGATGTTCTGAATCTGGGGTTCAGGTACCTCAAGATATTTATGGATGGGCCCCTGGATTGGGTTCTGTGAACCACCTGAAAATATATGAAAAATTTTGTGTATGTGTAACGGGAACAAAAATGTAATGTATAATTGTTCAGTGCCAATATCTCTGCTTTTAGGAGAATTCTGTATTTGCCTAATGGGCTGAGTCCTAGGCTGAGCTAGTTAGGGGTAATGCGTGAAGACTTCAAAAGGAGAAACCTAGAGAAGTTAAAATTATTTACAAGAGAGAGAATGGGGAGCAAATCAGGGAAGAAAAGAATAAGTGGAGAAGGGAGAAGGAGATAAGAAAAGTAAAGGAGAGTGTGGGAGACACCTTGTGGAGGTTTTAGAGAGACCAGAATGGTCAAAGAGAGGCCAAAAGTCGTATTTATGGTGGTTGGATTTGGGGAGTTGCACAGATGGTTTGCAGGTCATTTGGGCGCATGAAATGTAATCAACTCCCTAACACCTCTTTGAGAGATTTCAGTAAGGATTGCATTTATTTTTAGCCATAAAATCATGCCAACCTTCCAGTGGAAGGGGGGCCCTCATGCAATGAAGGGTTATCCAGAGGACCTGTTTTCACTGGGGCGAGTTCAGGATGTGTGCCCTGTGGGCCTGTGTAACACTCCCTTTCCCTGCTCTAGATGTTTCTGTTCTGAGTCAGGGAGATGGGTCCTGAGAGACAAAGAGGTGTGAGCCACAGAAGCCAGGAGATCTGAGGACAGTTGCGTGAGGAGTCCACTTCATGAATCTTACTGATTTTCCCAAGGATTTATTTGTAAACAATGAGGATCCTTGTAAACAATGTGGAACATAGAGGAGATTATCTTCTTTTACCATCTCCTCCTTCTTTGCTGAATTGAAGTCTTCATCCAGTATTTTAATGTACATCTTGTATATCCTTTTGTTTTGTAAGGAGAAACACCACCATTACACTAGAATCGACATTTTCATATCAATAGGTTCATAGTGTGAGCTGAACAAATGTCCGATATCCTCTTATTTGTAAAACTGGAAGAATAATTTGTAACTTAAAGATTTGCTGTGAAATGAAGTAATGAGTGTATTAAAGTCCATAGCAAAGTGCTTGATATATTTAGAGTTTCAGAAGTAAATATCAGTTCTCTTTACCCCTCCTCTTGCTTGTTCTTCTCCTTCTTCTTTAATAATCTCTAGCAATTATGGTATAGAAAATTATAGTTGGGTATCAACTAATGTCTTTGTAAAAAACAAGGAAAACAAAGGCTCACTTTTCTCTAAGGGGACAAGTGGATCAGCCTGACCATTGTATGTGATGTTATTTCCATCAAGCAAATCAACAAAGACAGAAATGCCAATATAGCTGAATGAGCCTGGAAAGCGGGGATGGTGATCACATATTTACACATCACACATGCAAAAAATATGGCATTTACTTATTTCTATAAATGATCAAATCTTGTTCTTTAGTCTCTACCCTTTGGAGGTGTTGAATAATTTCTCAGAGTCCAAACAAAGTGAAAACAATGCTGGAGGTTTATTTGTCGATCAAACAATTTGCGAATTGAACAATACACGGTAAGAGACTGGGCGTTGCTCCCGAGATGAGACAGTCTGAGGTTTTTAGAGTCCAAGTGTCACAGTCGTCTAGTGCTTGTCTAACAGAAATACAACAAGTGGATGGCTTTAGCAAAGAGAAGTTTATTCTCTCACAGTCCAGTAGGCTACGAGTCCAAATTCAGGGCGCTCCAGGGGAACACTTTCTCCATCAGCTCTGGAGGAAGGTCAGTGTCATCAATCATCCTTTGGTCTGGGAGCTTCTCTGCGCAGGAACCTCAGGATGCGCTCTGCTCCCGGTGGTATGAGGTTCCTATGTGTCTCTGCTCACTTCTCTCTTTTATATTGCAAAAGAGATTGCATGAAGACACTAATCTTGTCAACCTCATCAGTAGAACCTCATCACAGTGATAGCATTTACAACACATAAGGAGATCACATATAATCTCATCATAGTGATAGAGTTTACAACACATAAGGAAATCACATCAGATAACACAATCATACCATACTGGGAATCATGACCCAGCCAAGCTGACACATATTTTTGGTGGACACAACTCAATCCATGACACCAAGGAACAAAGCAAGCCAGGGAAGTCCAAGCAGTTTCGATGAGTCTTTCAATATTCATCAAAATGTCTCTTGAAATCCTTTCTTCCTCAGAATTGTGTTCGGCTAAGAAGACAAAGGACTCAGGTCTGAGGGGTCAGTGCCTGGCGACGCCAGCTTGTGTGGAATGTAGGCTATTCTAAGAGTGTTAGTTACACAAAAAGTTAAATAAACAAGCTAGTTATTATCTCTCAAGTTTAGGTTACCTAATGTCTTAAATAATTACCCTGTGAGACCAGATATTGGCCATGTTCTCTGGACTTGGCAGAAATGTCATCAGTTTCCACATTTTGTTTTAGTATCCCCATAGATTTCTATCCTCCACAGAGGCAAAAGCTCTGCCATTGAAGACATCTCAGGGCCTACAACATATGTGAGCTTTGCTTTGGTCAGCAATCTGCCTTTCTTCTTCCCCCATGGATTATGTGAGTTGAAGATGATAGGGCTTTAGAGCACTGGCAGAGAGTAATCTCTGTGCTCTCCGTTTGTTTCATTTTAAGTTCTTGTCCTGGGCTGGCTGGTCTGATGTGATCCTAAGACCTTTGTGTTGGTGTCTGTTGAGGAGGAGCAGGTCTCATCTGGCCATTTGGGGACATTGTGGGTGACCCTCTTCTGTGGAGTGGAGTCCATGGTCTTAGTCACTTGTCTCTGATTGGAAAATAGATGTACTATGCTGCTTCTTCCTCCTAACTCCATACCTCCTGACCCTAGTCCTTCCTGGTTCTCTGGGAATTGTTGTGTCCCCCCAGCTCCCATCAGAGCATGTGAAAATTTCTGGGTCTTCAGCTTTCCATATGCAGATCATGATACTCTCAGGATACTTCCTCTGCTAGTGCCCCTGCTGCATGTTGAATGTGAGTGTATTAGTTTTCTATTTTCTGTCCTAAGAAATTACCTCTAATTTAGGGGCTTAAAACAATACAAAGTTATTATGTTACAGTTCTATAGGTCAAAAGTCCAACCTCTGTCTACTGGGCTAAAGTCAAAGTATGGACAAGGATGCCTTTCTTTCCAGAGGCTCTTGTTTTTTCAGCTTCTAGAGGCTGCCCACATTCCTTGGCTTATGTTCCCATTCCTTTATCTTCAAAGGCAGTAACACAGCATCTTTCTGTCGCTGCTTTCATTATCCCTCTTTTTTTGACCACAGCTGGGAAAAGTCTTTACTTTTTAACATGCATGTGATTCGATTGGCCCACCTGGATCATCTAGGATAGTCTCCCCATCTCAAGGTCCTTAATCTTTATCACATCTGTAAAGTTTCTTTTACTACTGTAAAGTAAGTGGCTTCAACAGGTATGTTAGCTAATAATAAATGGGGGTTAGGGACTACAGGAAATCTAGTATCATTCTTTGATTTATTGCTGTTAAATCTTGACCAAATCTTCAATCTTGATTATTAAGTTTTTGCACCCGGAACACAGGAGTGTTACATGGACTGATGCAGGGGATTATCCATCCGTTCTGTAAGAAATCCTTGATGATGTGTGGTAACCCTTCTATGGCCTCAGAGTTTAAGGGGATATTGAGGAATTTTAGGCAGTTCTCGATCCAGATGGATTGCATTTGACTGGAGTTGGCGGATTTAATCCTGCCAATGTCTATTGAATTAGTGAGCACGTAGGGAGGGGAAACAGGTATGGTAACATATTCACAGGTGCTGGGAGTTAGGATATAGACATTTTTGGGGGCCAGTATTCTGCCTGCCACAATGGGGTTTCTCCTGGAAGATTATGATGTGTCTGGGCTACTGGAGGAAGCAGATGACTAGATCCAATATTTTTGGGTTCTCCCATGGCTATGTGTGTATTTTTGCTCCCATCACTCTATGAAAAAAGAAAGACAAGCCACTAAAGTCTGACCTCTTACTGTATTTACATGTTTCCTGCTTTGAGCTTCTCTTTCTCCCTTTCTTAGAAATCTCTCCATTGCCTCCTAACTTGAGTCAATTTCTGCCATATCCTGAATTCTCTTCACTCATGGCTTATAGTCATTCTGTAAGTTCGGCTCAGTCCGTCATAATTCTCTGTATCCATTGTTTAGAGGCATCCTACAAATTCAGCTCAGTGAGCTCTTGAGAAGTAAATGGAGGCCTTGGCAATTTTGATATCCTCAATTCTTTCTCAGCAGAGCATGGGTTGAAATGTAGTTGCTGGCTAGGAATTGAGAAAGCATAATTTGATAGTTAAAGCTGAGCAATGACCTTTTGTTCAGGTAGGTATCCAGCCTCTCAGTGCTTGGGTGTTAAGCCTTACAGTTTAGCCTTAATGGGAAGGCTCCAAAATTTCATGAGAAGGTTGAGGATTATGGGTGTGTGAGAGAAAAACAGAAATAAATACATCAGTTCAATATTTCCAAACCATTTCCCCCTATAATTCGTGCATCACTATGTTTTGTAAGAAAAGGTGCTGCTCCTGATGCGAAAGTCTGCAATTCCCTGATATGAAATGTGTGGTTCTCTTGTAGATTGGCGGAAGGAGCAGTTCCAGACCTGTGAGTGACTCAAGAGTTCTTTCTGGGAGCTCCTTTTGCCTGCCCCATGGCTTCTAGCCTCCCTTTCAGTTGTCTATGGTGATACAGATACAGGCACCATTGGTGGTGGTGGTGTGGGTGGTGGAGGGGACAGTCGTGTAGCTGGTGCTAAAGGGTGTAGTTGATCCTGGATGTGAAATATATATCCCTGAGCCCCTGGAATCCAGGCTGTTCCTCAAGGGCACTGTGATGGATCTTACCCCCATATCAATCTTTTGGTTCCTTCTCCTGCTTGGAAGGCTGGGGACTTGAATCACTAGGTCTCAGTTCTGGGTGCTTAGCCCGCTCCTCATGTCACTAAGTAGCTCTGAGGGAAAGTGTTTTTGTGCCCTTGTTATGGGGCAGGGGAGGGCCTTGCCTGATTCGGTAACTCTCTTTACAGGGTCTGTCACTCTGGATCCATGTTCTGCCCATCCCAACCTGTCCCTCTCACAGGAAAACATGCATCTCACCTGGAAGTACCCCCGGATGAAACCGAAGAATGTCAAATGCAGTGTGTTGGGTCTTGAGGGCATCACTTCAGGGCGAAGTTACTGGGAGGTGGAGGCCAGAGGTTCAGACATAAGTGTATGGGCTGTGGGGGTCTGTAGGGAAGATGTCGTTAGGAAAGGCTGGTTTACAGAGTGCCCAGAAAAGGGGTTCTGGGTAGTGGAATGGTTTTTCGGTGAGTGTGTTGCCTGTACTACTCCTCAGACACAGCTATTCCTTAGGAAGTATCCCTTCAGGGTGGGGATTTTCCTGGACTACGATGCTGGAGATATCTCTTTCTACAACATGACTGATAATTCCCATATTTTCTCCTTCTCTGAGGCTTTCTCCCCTGGGAAGCTCTTTCCATATTTCATGTTAAATTCAAGATACACGTCCCTGACCATCTGCTCGATAGTAGATGGGTCCAAGGGGCCCCCTGTGCCCCTTAACAAATCTGCTTCTTCTTTGAATGAGCCGCTGAGCCCTTCAGGGGAGGGGTTGAGTTCTGGCTCTGGTGGGGATGGTGTTCTCCCAAGGCCTGAATCTCCATTACTCCCCCGCAACTCCAAGGCTGTGCCTCGATAGGGACACATCTCTGTCCCTGTTCCCTCACTATGCTTTTCTTGGAGCTACAGACTCCCCAAGGTGAAAGACTCTGAGGTGAGTGCTGGAAGACACTGGGAGTCATGCATTTGTGCTTTTGGATGCAGACTGCTGGGGGAGTATGTGGCTCTGAGAACTGCCAGTTCATGTTTTGTGCTTCTATAGCTGAAGGAAAAAAAAAATGACTTGTTTGAGCTGGTTGAATGTAGGTAGAATTTGGCTATGGGAAGTCATTTTACTTTGGTAATAAAAAATACTTTGTGAACATTTTATACTGTTTGTATATGAAAGGACAGGGGCTGAATCCCTCTGCAGTATAGAGTTTGCTTTATCCAACTTGATTTTGTTCAGAGTGCAGGGCCCTAGCTCTACTTTGGAGGGGATCTAGGCAATCTGATCAGAAAATGTGCATATTCAAAATTTTCAGGGAAATGATTGGTTGATGGACTTCTAAGATGGGAGAAGTCTACTATTCACTTCATATACTTAGTCTTGGATGGCTGAAACACACCTATTTTCTCAAATCTTCTGTACATTTCTGTTAGCCATGAAAATACTGTGTTGCGTTAATTCAGGAAATTAAGAAGAAGTTCCTCTTTTGGTGAACACTAGGTGGAAAGAAGAGAAATACTAGCCAAATTAAGATGTAAATGGACAAGAGAATTTTCCGGAGCAGGAAATTGCAGACAGCCTTGGCATGAGCATTGTCTCAGTTATCAGTGTATTGCCTCTTAGTACTTCCTACTCCAATGCTAGAGGTAAACGGAAAAGCACAGCAACCAAAAAGGGACAGGACTATTGAGTACTGAGACCCTTCAAGAACGAAGGGGTATTCATTCCACCAGGGAAGGAACTCTGAGCAGCTGAGGTTCTGGATGAGGGTGGGGGAAACAAGGAATGAGAAGTAGAAGTCATAGATATCAACTCTAATTTTGTGGCCAGTTGTAGAAACAAGGAGTATAACAGCTTTGCATATTTTAATTTGGATTCTCATGTGTACGTGTTTATTTGTATATATAAACCATTTTTTCTTCTCTCCCCTTCTTTATTATTTTATGTACAAGTTCTTGGAGGTTACATTTATCGTACAGATATGGTAACAGAATATCCAATGAACTGTGACAGATTTTAAGGAGTAAATAATATAGCGGTGATGGATATAATGACTGTAACATTTTTATGAAAAAATTTTTTTTTGGTATCCTTTGTCATAAGGCTAGGTGAGAAAATAGAGTAGTTTTGTTGCATGGAAGTTCAAATGTGTGTAAAATGATGTATATGAAAGCTGAGTAACCAAAGTGCGTATTACCATTTTATTGCCTCTCGGTTCCAAATTCACACTGTCTTTGCCCTGCTTTGTGATACTGCAGCTGGACCTTGTAAACATTTCTCTTTGCCACTGGGCGCAATATTAGACACTTAGCAGGACAGTGGAGATACACTGCATAATATAGCAGAGAAGAAACTTCTCTTCCTGGTTCTGGGCTTTTCTTCTTTATCCTATAGTGTGGAGGCCCAGTTTTGCTCACCTTTTGGTGAATTTGTCTGCAATTGCTTCTTGATGCTTTCCAGGGACTCTTACTAGCACCCAGAGGGTAGCTTCCCAGGGAGTGTCACCAGTACCCCAATGGGAGGTTTTTGGCACCAGCCTTGGCCTGTGGCATGTTAGCAAACTTCATCATCCATTGGGCCCCTATTCCTCTTTTTGCAATGAGCTCTGAATGTCTGCCTTATCAGGGGGCCCGCTCCCAAATTTCTTCCTTTCATAGGTACTCTGCCTCAGCCCCAGAGGTAGTGGTTGTTTCCTATATCTGCTATTTCTGTATTCTTTAGAGCTTTCTTTTACCTCTTTTAGTAGTTAAGAACCTTCTCCGATTAAATACTTTTTTTGACTCGTTTGTCGTTTAGTAGTGTGTTGTTAAACTTCCACATATTTTATATATTCCAATTTTCTGTCTCTTACTAAGTTCTAGTTTCATTCCATTGTGGTCAGAAAAGATACTTTGTATGATTTCAATCTTTTTGAATTTATTAAGACTTGCTTTGTGCCCTAAGATATGGTGTCTCCTGGAGAATGGTCTATCTATACGCACTGCAGAAGAATGTATATTGTGCTGTTAGTCAATAATTTTTTATATTAAAATTTTCTCTCTTCAAATGACTGATACAGTTTCTGTCTCCTTACTGGACTCTGAACTGGTATAAGCCTGTAAACCATAATGTTGCTTAGAGAATGGTCCAGAATTTCTTATAGTATGTGGGAAAGGGTGCTTGAGGTACTTAAAAATTTATTAAAAAGTTTTACTTCCACAATAATATCATGGGCAATATATTCATCGGGGTCTTTGTTGAGTTTTAAGTATGCTCTATACTCTCTATGTGTTAATATAAAGAGCTCTTGCGGCACAATGGTTAAGTGCTTGGCTGCTAACTGAGAGTTCAGTGATTCGAATCCACCAGCAACTCTGTGGGAGAAAAGACCTGGCAATCTTCTCCTGTAAAGATTACAGCCTAGGAAACCCTGTGGAGCAGTTGTACTCTGTCCTTTAGGGTCACTATGAGTAGGAATCAACTGGACGGAACGCAGCAACAACAAAATGTGTTAATATAATGTCCCTAGGTGGTGCAAATTATTTGCGCTCGGTTGGTTACCTAAAAGTTGGAGAATTGAACCCACCCGGTCATAGTGCAGAAGAAAAGCCCTGGCGATCTGTTTCCATTAAGGTTACAGCCAAGCAAACCCTATGGAGCAGTTCTACTTTGTAACACCTGGGGTCAC